AAATCTTTCCGGATGATGTTTGGGGCCATGTGAACTTCCTCAAAGACATTCCAGCTGAGGCCCATTCTTCGTTGAGAGGGGAAGCTCCCACAAACCTCGAAAGAACTGAAAACTGTCTGACCCATCTTCTTGTTTTTCCGTCTGATGGAATCTGAATAAGGCGCCGCATGATGTTCACAGATTCACAAAAACATTAAAAAACGCTGTTACGATGTATTGGAGTGACCAGTCGTCTTATCAACATCTGTAATGGTTTCATTAAAAACTGCCAAATCAGTCGGTCTTAAGGTCGCATAGCGAATTGTTGAATTATTAAATAAAGAACTGACGATCAAACAACTTTTTCGTTTCCCAATCGTGTGTTCCAATCAGCACCCCTCAAAAGGTCCTCCTTCGACCCAAACACACGGTCTTTCACCCTTTGCCACCAAGTTCGTCTCTCCTCTCTTCTAACAAAATCCGGAAGTCCTGTCACTTGATCGACGTTCAGCGGAATAACAACAACAGTCATATCCTGGCGCTCCCCCACTGCTTCTCTCCCTTGCATGGCTTTGTGGTTCTCGAGCGATACACGCATTAATTCATCTGCAGCGACTTGAGCGTAATCCCGACTTTCTTCGCCATACAGATTATCGATGACATCATTCACAATTTCCACAGCCTGAAGTCTCGAGAGCATCCGACCAGAGTGCAAAGCTCTTCATACCTCCAATTCTTCGAGCGCTTCCCAAAATCCTCCAGTGCCAAGGATGAGAAAATCGTCAAACTTCGTCCTTGGAAATACTTGCACCTATCAAAGGAAGACTGAGGTGACTTCCCCAAGACGTCAGCTTACGCTGGGGAGATGGGACATGTAGGGATACTTATTGCTATTTGACATTTCCGGGAATAAACGGCCGTATTCGGGATCCTTTCACGCAAAATGAAAAACGCATCATTGATTTTCCCAAATAACTTTTTTTTTCAGCAGGTTATCCACAGAAGATTGTCAAAATGATTGCAAACGGACCTTCAATTGGAAATGGCCGAAAGCTCTGGTCGCTGGCGACATTCCCTGCGACATCGCAGTTGAATGGCAGAAAGTGAGACGCAAGATTTTACCTTAATCAAGCAATCGCGGTAGACAGTATCATACCCCAATGTTCCACACAGCCAGAAAGGAACAGCCAAGGGCCCTTGGACAGTTCTAGGAACTTCATACTGCTGGGCACATTTGAGCTGAAGCAGAATAGAATCAGACCATTCAATTGCGTCGATTCAGTACCGCGTCGTCTTCACGTCCAGCTGCCTTCACAAGATTTCTCTGTTCCCTCAGAACATTCGGACTGGAACGAGAGAAATGAAAGATAAGACGACCGCACGCAAACCAAACAGACAAGACGACCGCACGCAAACAGTGTGGAAGTCGACATAGAGTGCTTCGACGCACCGCACGCATCAGTCGCTAGTGAGCCGCCACACACCTGTGCCAGTAGTTCAGCCTGAACGGTTTTCCCTCACGAGAAATAACTAGACCGTCATCATAGCGTCAAGATTGCAAGAAATTGGATTCATCGCACCTGCTTTAGATGTTCCCAAATTTGCAATAACGATTGAGTTTGTGTCAATAAGAGCCGCAAGGACACAAGAGCCCATCTATCAAAGGAAAACCATGGGGCAGACACATAGAGACTGGCTTTGTGAAGACGTTTTATGTTGTTGATATGAAATGCTACGAAGCAATGTTGAACCTCATGAAGCCACTTACTGATAAGCCTCGAAGAAACTTCAGATCTTTGGAGCCTTGGACGATTTTCTTCAACTCGAGCTCCTTTGAACGAGAACATGCGTCAGAGCAAAACGTGGGAGGTGCTCACCAGTTCATCAAAAGCAGATGTGATTGAATCCCGAATGAGATACAACGGAGCCGCTCTGATCGACTTCTCCAGCCGTTGTGGCAAAACTTGTCGAATGTACTCAGCTGCAACAAATACGTGAATCAGAGACTTCAATCTATACGGATGCTAAACTTGCACAACTTAGGGATTCGAAGCATAACATCATCTTTCCAATCTCTATTACTGACCCATTTGCCATCCATTGTATCCATCCATCAATCCCGCATAGAAAAATTTAGTATCATCTGTCTTGATGATTTCTAGGCCGAAGCGATCAGAATGAGTTTTCTCCTGAAAGACTTGGCAAACCCCGATTGTGACTTTAGACGAAGTGCGCGGTAAACGGCCAGTGGGTCGCAACATATTCTTGATCAAGCGCTGTCTCTCTCTTCGTCGAACTTTTTTGTCTCCTACAGAAAACATTCAGAGTGAGCTGCGAAGCAATACAACATTGAGTCGAACTAGAAAAGACCGGGGTGGTACAGATTAGAGAGAGTACGACAGAATCCGCAGCACTTCGGCGTTTGTCATTTTTAGCGAGCTCACGAGGTGGTGCGGATTAGAAAGAATCCCCACCACTTCGGCGTTTGTCATTTTTTAACCAACTCACCAGGATCCGTTGAGGATCTCACCAACAACTTCATTGCTCTCGTCATGAACCCCGATTCATGCTTCTTTTCCTCTTCTATTTCTTGCAAAATCAGATCATTCAGTTTTCGTACTTCTTCCAATTCTTGCTTCTGCTTTGCAGTCAGCTGGTCAAATTCTTCATCTGGATCTTTAACAACTTTGGGGTAAGGGCTGCTTTTCTCATCACCCTGACTTGGCTTGTTGCTTCCCTCAGTTGGCTTCTGCGTTGGCTTCTGCTGTGTTGACTCATTTTTTCCTTGGGATGGTTTATTGTGTCTTATCTCGAATACCGATTCAGTGCGTGCCGGTCCTTGGCTGTCCAATTGATTCCGTGTATATTTCAAACACCCAAAAGCAACTATAGATCCAAACAAACCCCGGAAGACAAGACTCCCTGTTTTCGACCAGATATACTGCAAAATCTCCACATCGAACTCTGAGAGAGAAGCCTTATGAATCAGGTTGCCCTCAACTTCGACGCACCTTGGGATTGTTGGCGAGATTCATTCGAATCTTGACGCAACAGAGACGAAACCACTTCTCGTTGAGGGATGTTGCTTCTTGACCCCTTCGAATAAACAGGACCTTCAGAAAGCTTTTCTCCTAATATTTGCAAGCCACGACGTTGAGTGGACAGGCACCCACAAAGAGCTGCGGCCTCTCTAGGAAGCCATTTCCTCCCACGAAATAAGGTCTGCAGCATAATACGCCAGGTGAGGTTCATACATGACGTCTCTGGGACAACTGCATCATAGAAAGTGTGTTCCACAAGTTCAACGAGCTTCTCTTAGTTTGTTGAAAACACAGAACAATCGCTAAGAATAGCAAGATAATAATTCCAGCGAGTTACATCGCCATCCCTTGTTCTCATTTTCTCAAGCATCAAATACAAGATATAGCTTTAGGGGATTTGTAAGCGTTGGGTCGGTTACGAAGAGCGCATCATCTGAAACGCAGTAAAGGCGGAAGTCATAATCACTGCAGTAGAGAATGACAACGAAAGTCATCATCATTTCGAATAGCGAACATTTCTGTCGAACTTCTTTTTCATTTCCTACCAGATTTTAATTCATTGATTGCTATCAGCTGCTCCAGACTCAAGGGTAATTTGTATTCATGCTGTTGCCGTAATGCTATCGGATTCGTGATGTGCAGAATTCCTCTCTGTAGAAGATTCGAAAAAGATACAACGTGACTGTCTCTGAGACGAACTTGGGTGGAGATCGATACTCTCGAGAGTTGAAATCGAGGATCCTCTTTTAGCCGCAGCAAGAGATTCTCCAACGTCATCGACTTCGTTACATTGAGTCTCGCTACTGTCTCCCCACAAACCAAACACTCCTACATCCAGAAATTGAGTTTCATTCGAGTTCGTTCGACTCCTTACTTCGTTTTTCGCAAATGGAAATGTATACGTGTAGACTCCTGATTGACCCATATACATCAGATACGAATTCAGAACTGGACCACAATACGTTGAAATCTTCAACGCTTCAGAAACAAGCATAGCAGCGATAAGTGCGTTTGTGGAGGCAACAGCAGGAACAATCCTCTGAGAACAACAACATAGACTCGAGCATGGGATTTCTTCTACTATGAATCCAGAATCAATAACGCAAATATTGAAGGGAACTTTGACAGAACGTTGAAGCTCATTACAATCAGACAACGCTTCTTACTTTTACGACCCCCATTGTCAGCATTTCGTTCACTCCCTCGATCTTAAACATTTCTGCTCTTTCCTTGGCGAGCGCGGTGATCCATTTCAAAACTTCAGGATCGTCGAGGTCCTGTTTCAAACAACGATGAAATGCAAACGATCAGAAGCACACCTACTGCTTTCTGATCTGGGAATTGTTTGGGCCATTCAATGAGATACACATATTCAACACAATGTTCTGGAAGGCGTGGAGTCTCTGCAATCGTGCATAATGGATAAGTGGTCTGAAAACATGAGACAAGAGATGGAGTAGACTGGAATATGAAGCAAGGGGATGTCGGCAAGCAAGAAGAGGATGATTGTGATGATCCCCGAGTGGAACAGAGATGCCTCTATGGGATGTACTTTTGGAGGAAATGTCCCTAGAGAACACTCGAAGCATGAAGTCATGAACGGAAGAATCGTACGACTTTGACCTCTCAATCCTTCAGTTCCTCCATCAAAGAGAGGCTGAAGGAGAAAAGGCATCAATATCACAACGGACACTTCTCTTACAATGATTGAAGATGGATCAACATCACCAGTTAAAGGGTCACGGTCTGCCATTGAATGTAACAATGAATTGATCCAACGACGCGCGTCGATATTATCAAGTCCAGCAATGATGACATTGAACTGAAAAATCAATAAGGGGGTTAATGGAAATACGAAGTGACGTGAATGCATGTAGACTCACTCGTCTGTAGAATTCAACTGGTTTCTCTTGTATTGTCGACACGTGGGGGGATACTTGAACACCGAGATGGCTGAACCGTCTGTTAATAAACCCAGCTGCTGCAACTGCTTTTGGTTTTCCAATATCCGAGTCTCTAGAGAGTACAACACCAATAGAAGCACATCACAATAACGCAGAGCAAGGAAATAAAAAATCATAAATGCAATTTTATTACCGGAAGAGGAATTGGCGATTGAGATTAGACAGGTCGACTGTATCCATATCAATCACATCCACTCGAGAAAATCCCGAAAGAACTAAACATTTCAAAATTTCGCAACCTGACAGAATCATGCATTGGTAATAGGCGACTCAAGCCCGATGTCAACAATCTCACCCAGACCACCAGCCCCAATGACAAGAACATTAGCTTCATTGTGGAGATACTGAAATGTCTGGAAAAGACAGAACGGGATTTCCTTCTCCGAATCATCTCTCTATCTGCTTTCCTCTCCTGCGTCTCCGAATCCATCCGCGACAAACTTGTGATTAACAGATAAAAACTTTTTCAGAACTCCGAACTTTTCCTCACAGGCTGCAACGTAATTCAAAAATATGCTTCCTTACAAAACCGCTTACACATAGTTGATGCCATCAAGGTTGTTTAATTCTATCCCCAACTCGAGGTACCCCATCCAGTGCGACAGGAGCCCCACCAGATATGTGCCGTTATTTGTGTTCTTGCTAAGGAGTCCAACCGTGAAGTTCGTAATGTTTGTGTTCCCCTTGTCTTAAATGACAAAATCATTATAGTCACGTACGAGATGGACAAAGGTGCACAAAAGTCTCTTTAAGCTGCTGGATTAACGACGGGCGGTTGAGATGAAGGAGGGACCGCTTGGTGTCGATGAAGCACACCAAGCGCCTCGTCCACCTTGGCTTGGAGTTGCGTCTCTGACTCAAGAAGCGACAGCAATTCTGCGTTGTCCATCTCGAGCATCATTCCAGTAATTTTTCCCGCAAGCTCTGGCTGATGTTTTGAAACTAATGGGAAAAGCTTCTCCCCTAACATCTGCTTCTGCATGCGCGGATGAGCTGCTGCGAGAGATTGAGCGGACAGCAAGTCTCCAGATTCGCCAAGGGAATCAGAAACAAGAGGCTGTTGGTTGGAGACGGATTGATTCGGGGCCATCTGTGGGAAATCACGGTTACGAGCTTGGGGAGTGAACTTAAAACTCGGTTGGCCACCCATGGAGCCTTGAGGTCCCATTCGTGGTCGCGGTCCCATTCCTCCACGCATCGGTAGGCTCGAGCCAGGCGGGTTGGTCATTCCACCCATTGGACCCATTGGGTGATAAGGGTAAGCCGCATTCGACATCTGGGGATTGTAGGGTCGCGGTCCTTGATTCCTCCAACCCAGATTTCCGCTATTTGGTGGTGCCATACCAGGGCCACCCACCGGACGCTGAGACGACATTGGACCTTGCGCTCCGCCATAGTACATCGGTGGGCCATATGGGTGCATCATTTGGGGCATTTGGGATCCTCCGCTCATCATTGGGGCAGACGACCGAGTGGTACGGAAGCGATGCTGCAGGCGTGCAATTCGATGATCCCGCTTTTCAGCAAGACCGACGTAAAGAGGCTTTCCCATGAAGATCTTGAGATGCATCGCAGTGACCGCTTTCGTCGCATCTTCCGGGAAAGCGAAACAAACGAACCCGAAGCCCTTCGAGACACCGGCCTCGTCCCGCATGACTTTTGCAGAGGTGACTGTTCCATACTTGGAAAATGCCTCACGAAGTGCATCGTCAATCACCTGCGACAAAACAGCAACAAACATGATTTTAGATAACACGGAAGAAAAGATGCAGAGGTGACAGACTCAATACGAAGCCTTACTTGGTCGTCGAGATTCTTGACGTACAAATTGACGCCCGATTGTTTTTGTTTTTCTGCATTATTGGTGGTGAATTGTTCCTTCAATAGTGCTATACGTTCTGCCTTTGTCATTGCTCGTTGGACGTATAAACGGCTGGTGTCTTCAGTGTCCTTGCTGGAGTCTGATTTCGCATCATCATCCACGGGTTTCTTCTCGTCTTCCGCGGATTCCTCAGTTGCGGCATCCGGTTTCGTTTCAGTCTTCTTTGGTACATCGTTCGGCTTATCGTCGCTTTGGTCAGAAGCGATCTATAAACATACAAGAGTGACAACATTTACAACATTCCACATTATTGATATCCCACAATACATGGTATCACAAAGACATACTCCGTCATCCGAGGCTTTTTTTCCATGAATTTCATTGACTGCAGCCCTGGCAGCATCACAGCTCTCGTAGTTGACGAAACCAAATCGACGCCCTTTGTTATCAGTTGTGATTGCTAAGCTTGTTATCTCTCCGAAAGGACTAAAAACGGTTCGAAGAATATCTTCGGTCCAAACTTCGGGAAAATGTTTAACATAAAGATTGGTAAACGTTTCGGACCGCGTCGTTAGACGTTCATTGCGTCTTTTGAAAGGTCCAACATAGACATGCTTACTCCCGATCTGTTGACGGAACCGAATTTGTGTGATTGAGAAATTGGAAACAGTATTTAATGGAGCAACACTATTTAATCACATTCACATCACACGCACCAGCATTCCATTGACCTTTTCAATTGCCGCTTTGGCAGATTCTTCTCCTTCATAGTGAACGAATCCATACCCCCGCGATTTTCCATATTCATCAGTCGCTACTTTGCAAGAAAGTATGTTACCGAAGAGAGAAAAAGTGTCGTAAAGGGATTTGTTATCAATGGACTTGTCAAGATTTTTGACGAAAATATTCCCAGCTCCTGATTTTCGCAAGGAAGGATCGCGATGACTCCACATAATTCGACAGGGGACACCCTTGACTGTGGTGAAGTTCAACGTGTCAAGAGCACGTTCAGCTGTGAACGGAGAACAGGAACCCAATGCAGCAAGACCAAAAACACACGAGACTTACCGTCATTGATGTTGTGATAATTGACGTAAGCATAGCCCAGCGACTTGCGGGAGCCAGATTCGCGGCAAACGCGGATTGACGCTACCGGACCGATTGCGTTGAAGATTTCAAAAAGCATCGTTTCGTTGACCTCAGGGGCCAAATCACCGACGTAGAGGGACGCCGATGCGTATTGTGGTTGAGCTGCAGCCATGGTGACAAAGATAGGACCGACAAAGCTGTTAGAAAAAATTCAGTGCTGAGAAAAAAGGTCGTTACGGAAGGCGTTGTTGCTGCTCGAAGTCGTGTTGTAATGCGGTATCTCTCTGATGCCGAATAACGTTGGCTTATCTTCCTCGTCGATGAATGATGCGAATTTCAACACGGAACTTTTTTTGGTAAGGATTCTCGAATCCTCTTTTTATTAATTTTTCGATTTTTTTTTGGTTTCAGAGCGTGAGGCAGCAGCTTCACAACTCGACCGTTTGGATTTTCCAGCCACGAACTCTTATCGAGAGGCTTCGAGCCCAATGACGTCTGGAATGGGACTATTCTGTTTGCTTTTGCCTTGTTTGTTGTGCTGCTACTCTGTCCCAATTATGGAAATGGAACAGTCGCGACACACATGCAACCTGATCAAACATTTAAAAAATTCTCGAAAATTAAACGATTAGAGAACGAGAGAGAAACGCGAAAAACAGTCCGTCTTTCTTTTATATATATCAGAGGGAAAAATCGTGACGAAAATCAGAAAGTAACGAAACTCATTTAACCTTCACTTCTTCCTCCGCTTTCGGCTTTCACTTCCCTCCTCGATTTTGCGTTTCCTTTTTGCTGCATTTATCGATTCGTTTGCAGTTTCCTTCTCCATCAGCGAGTATTGGTGCATAAGTGACGCAATCACGCCGTCCGGTGGCCTAAAAAAGCGGCTTTGATAGACACTCAGCACGATTGTTTCATCACTTACAATGCCTGACATTCATGGCACTTCAGGTCTGGGTGCTTGGATAGAACATCCCATGATTGTGAACTGTTGAATTCCATCCAGCAATCACGACACATGCAAACCGCACAAGCAGATAACTCGAGATTCTCCAAAGGGGTGATTGCTAAAGAGGTTGGCGGTTGGGACGAGATTTCGCTGTGCTGATCGCTGAAGCTGTTCCTTCGACTCACTGCTCCTGTCGCTGGGACGGAGGAAGTGAGGAGCACGAGTTGTCGCACCACATTCCCTGAGACGAAAAAAGATGCATAAGAAGATTAGACTCTAGCAGGAAAAGAGACTTTTGTTGTTAGAATTCAACAAACAAATGGATTCTCAGCAAAAAACACTTACGGCACAACAGGAACTCAGACTCCCCATGCTTTTCTGTTGCCTTTCGAAATTCCAGTTCTTTGTTGCAATTCGAGCAGCACAAAGGGTGGGATGTTGATCTCAGCGCTGGAAGCAGTAATAGGGACGAACGCAGGTGGTAGTTCGTGTCGAGATCCAGTAATTCTTCCAGACTATCGAAATAACAACAGATGTTTACAAAAAGTCTTGCATATAATCAATGAAAACTCACTGATATTTATTCCCAGTTTCAAACTGAACAATTTCATTCGTTCGGATGTTCATCCATTCGAACGATGAATCACCAGGATCTGAAGAACCATTCGTCATTGAATGCGATTCGTTTTCCCTCTCATTGAAGTAAACAAGATAATTTTGACGTTTGGATGCCAGTGGCATGTCGACTTCATCACTAATCGAACTCTTGATTCTTTGCGAGTCTTCAGTGTCACAATGAAGAGTTGAAGTGTGGGATCTAATGATGTTGTCCATCATCGTCCTCGATGAGCCACTTGTTAACTTCCAAGGTTCTCGTTCGCATTCAGTGAACGTCGCATCATAAAATACGATCAGCCCTTCTCTCCATTTGAGATCGTTCATGGAAAATACTCGAATCTTTTGGCCAACAGCAAGAGCCTCCTATCAAAAATTCATTGAACCAATTAAATCAACAACTCATCAGCATCATATCTATTTATTATTATCGCAACCATCTCTCACCATTTTCATGTCGCCATTCCACTTTGGATCTACATGTTCCCAACCGGGTATTGGTTCCAATCGTTGATTGTCGCTCACAGTGGCGATTGATTGTTCGATAATTCGAGTTATAATTCCACGCATCGACTGGAATATGGCGGTTGCGTTCTCCTCACTGATCGGCAAAGTCGTTCCGGCTGCGTCATCGTCCATTTCATGATCACCCCTTCGTTTGGAGCGCTGCTTTCCCTTAGGAACCGCGCTACGATGTTTCCCCCCGCGACGTTGTCGAACCAATCACTGCGAAATGGTGCCACAGAGTGAGATGTGAGGGATCACCACACGAAGTGGTCCGTCCCAGTGCATCTCCCGCCACCCTCTGCAACTTATTTGAGAACCTCGCATGGAGATACTCAGCTGCGTTGAATTTATAATCAATGGCATCTGCACATGTTTGTGAAAACAGTTTGCGATTATCACGATTCATCCACAAACAAGAAAGCAGCGGCCTGAAGCGAAACAAGAGATCAATTAATGGTTGTGTTGATATCAGATGGCATTAGATTTCCAGTCGCCGCTCCAACACTTCATTTTTATTTGAATCAACTTTTTTTCTATTTTTTCTATTCGCAGTCATCAATCAATCTAACTCCGAACTCACATTCCGAATTCATCCATCGCGAGTCTGAGATGATTCAATGCGCGAAGCACTCTGGTTGCGATCGTCACTTGGCGTGGCCCAACAGAGGAGGCAGCGGAGAAGGCAGTATACGGATGCAATTCCAACGGAATATTCGAAAAAAGTGCTACAAGAAAAAATGTCAAACGGATTAAGAGAATTGAAACTTACAAATGGAAGAAAGAGCAGATTCAATGTCTTGCGAAGGATCACTAAATGGGGGGAGAGAACGAACTCGTTTAAGAAGATCAGTTGATTGATTCAAAGGGACTGCCACTCTTGTGGGACTTGCGATTGCAGCTGGATGACTTCGATGTTGAGCCGGAACGACAGCCCGTGCGTACGCGTTCCGTCGTCCGGTTTGAGCCGTTATTGTTCCTGAATTCTGCGATTGCAAATTCTTCGTCACTGCACAATCTGGCAAACACTGCTGCCATGAGGACGACGTGAAATAAGGAAACGATGGTTGAGTGAGAGCCCCAAGAAAATCATACAGAGAAATATATTTTGATGGTTTTTTGATCGTCTGGTTCTCTAGTGGAATGTTTGTTTCCTCTGACAGTTTTCTTTTACTTTTAATCCCTTCCGCCTCTTCCTGTTCATTCCTTGATACATCAATGTCATCATCACTCGACTCATGATCATTTTCATGCGTCGATTGACGCTTCAAGCTTCCTTTTACTTCACTATTTTTTGATTCACTTTTTTTCTTTGTAAGCAATCCAGATTTTCGTGTAGTCCTTCGATCAAGAGAACCTCTGGATTCTTCGCCTTGAGTCTCATCTTCAATCTTGGTTCCCTTTTTCTTCCTTCGCTCATGTCCTTCGCTCAAGGACTGTTGTCGTGTCACGCGCTGAGCTGTTCCGTCGGACTCGATATTCGCTTCGTGTTGAAACGACGAACATGCTGCTTCACTCTCGTCTTCTTCTTCCTTCTTCTGATCAAATTTTTTTGCTGATTTCTCCGCCATTCTTTTCTTTCTCGCAGCTTCTGCAATCAGGACGAATTCAGGTGGTCCTGCCGTTCCTTCCGCGATCTCCGTCAAAGCTGTAGGACTGTCAGGCGACAATGTCGGAGAGAGCCGATCGACAAATGCAGCGCCGGAAGCGGAGGACACATGAACGTCTCTCGCGGGCAAAACAGCCGGAGTCCCAATCGCAATGGCCGGAACTCCGCACGGTTTGGACGGTGAAAGGGGCACAGACGGCTTTAATGGTGGGGATTTCTGAAGCACGACGGAATACAAACAATACTTTTGAAAAGGGTATGAAGAAGTGAAGTCATCGTTAAAGCTCACCTCACTGTCCACGGACACATCTTGTATGCTCGATTGCTCAATTCCATCGAACGCCTGCGTTGGACTCGAAACTTCTTGTCCATCAGGTTCCGTGTCGGACATCAAAATCCTTCGCTTCCGTGCCCTTGTCCCTTTTCGTAATTCCATCTCTGATGCATTCAGCGTCGTGGGTTCAGTTGAACCATCTGGACGTTCAATGGAAGTCCCATTGGGGACGCCGGACTTTCCTCTCCCAGTTCCACTACGTCGACCACCGCGTCCCTTTCTCCGTCCTTTTGCTACTCCTCGACCAGCGAACTCCTTTGTGTCCGCCGGAATGCTCACTGATCGCACGTCATCATCAACTGGCTGCAAGTCCTTCGATGAACCATCTGCACACCGAAAATCACTGACGCTATCTTGTCGTTCTATTGGAGATGACCACGACACTATAACTCCCTCATACGTCGTATCGGGTCCTTTTGGTTCTTCGGATGGATGTGACTCATTGTCAGACTCCGGGGGATATGTCGCTGTTGGGACTGCAGGTGGACAGAAACCTCCATCGTCAGTAACATCCGACTTTTGACGCGTAGGGCGCAATCTGGGGCTTCGTGATGTCCCAAATGCGGGGTGCTGTTCTGCCACGTGATCACGTCTTGCTCGTTTGGCGGGCCGCATGTCCGCGGAGTCCTCCAGGCGACGAGACGCTCTATTTGGCGAAACGGTCGTTAGTGGGAAAGAGGACGCGGCGTAAAGTCCAGAGGTTGTCGATGTCGGAGTGTTCTGGTTCCCAACAGGAAAAACGAGAGTCGACTGGATATTGCGCCCGTAAAGATCCGCAATCCGCTTCGACGCATTCCAGAAAGGAAGACCTTCATGAAAACTTGCTGCTAATTCTTCAACCGAGACAGGCGTGTCGTTTGAAGCAAGACGCAGGAGTTCCTTGTAATGCGCGTACGCACCCGACGCGACACAACGGATTACTTTTTCCTTCGCTGATGGTCGGCCACGCTTACGTACTGCGAATTCTGGCAAGAGCTGACGTGCAAGGTCGATCAATTCATTCATCTGCAAGAAAGAGAAAATGAAGAAGTGAGTTGCTCTGACGATAACGGAATTATTGCAAAGGAACAATCAAGGGACATACAAACAGGATAGATGGTTAATCGTAGATAGGAATATGAATGAGTCTAACAGAATTATTAATCGTAAAACACGTACGGT